CTGTCCTGACCCCCACCACTCAGCAGGCTCTCCGGAGTTGTTTTTTCCCAGCAGGACAGTGATCCCCTGCTTTTTTCTGAGACCAGAAATTGTGTCCAGCTTCTATTTTGGCTGCCTCATTAGGATGCAATTGGATCCCTTCCTCGTGACAAATCTTTTATATACAGACATTAAGATGTATCTTGCTTTTTATACTACAGCAAAAGTTCAACGCTATTGTGCTAGGAACACATTACATTAAATATTGAGACTGCCTTGTGTGACCTTCTCTGTACAGTGTGATGGTGACAGAGTCTTAAGAGAATTCGTGTCCTCACACCATCCAGGTTCCCAAACCTCTCAGTCATGCCTGACCAAGGAGCTGCTGCCAGTTTTCCAGACAGCTGGAAGACAGATAACTATCTGCATTTTGTAAAACATCAGCCCTCTTTTAATGCCTTTTCTAATGCAGGGCCTATCAGATGCGGCATATCAGATAAGCAGATGGCTGATGCTCCACCAGAAAGAAAGGCAGAGCTGAAGTGCTCACTTAACAGCCCATCCAGATGAAAGGGGACCTGACACAGCTTTCGCTGCTGTGCCGAACCCCTTGGGCCAAATGCCTCCTCTGAACTACACTAAATGGGGAGAGCAGGAGCTGCAGCTCTCCTTGCCTTTGCTCGCTGCTGGCAAAAGCAAAGCTGCTGCCCACGGGAGTGGTTTACTGCTGGGACAGAGAGAAAACCAGCGAAATGAGGTTTACATTCACAAAACAGTTCAAGGGGTTGTGTTGTGGCCGCTCCTAAGGAGCCGACCCCAGCGCGGGACCCACAGCTCCAGCTCCTCGGCCCGGGACCCTGGCAGGGTGAACTCCCTGCTCACTGCTAAAGCCAAACAAGGCACTTGACAATACATTTCTGTGGTTGTGGATTTTGCTGTGAAAACAAAACCAAAAATCCCCTGGAAAGCCAAGGGGTGGAAGAAAAAGGAGAACAAACAATATCCCAGGCCAGTTTGGTTTAGAAAGACCTGATTTTCCCACGGTCTATTTTTCAGAAAAGTGCTGTCACAGGATTTCCTTCAGGGCACTTCAGCTGCTGAGTGGGAGGTATTTAAAGGCCTCTGAGCTGCTGGCTCTCTGAAATCACCCCATCAGTTCCTATTTACAGCTAGCTGTACCAAGGCAAAGGTGTGCCTGAAAAGGAGATTGTTGCTACTCACAAAGTGCATCCCTATGGAGGTGGCTGCTGCAGTCTCAATTTCCGTGCCAATGTCTTCAATGAAGGGATACTCGTTTTGGTCGTGGATCATGATCTTGGCTCCTGTGGATGTCACCAGGAAGGGGTTGTAGTCTGCTTCGTCGATGTACAGAACAACCTGCAATCCTGAGCCACAGAGACAAGGCAGGAAGTTACACCAGGAGCTAGAGCCACGTTTTCTGGTCAGGGAGGGCAGCACGGTTTGTTTCATGTTATCTGGCCTTCAGTAGAACTGTAACAGCCAAGCACAGCCTCTGCCCAGCCAGACCAAGACACCTGCAGCCAGTAACATCCCTTGGTGGTACTGAGTACAGCAACCAAATAACATCTGCTGAGAATGTGGCTGGAACTCACTTAAAAAAGTTATATAACTGGGCAGCAGTAATTTCAGCTGGAAAACATTAGTGATGCAATGATATTATCTGTATTCTCAGGCAAGAGTTTGCACTAGTTCAAACAGGCATTTCCCCAATCAGCCTGTACATCTACAGCCAACACATCGCTCACGCTCCAGCAGGATCCAGTTTGCTGAACCACTTGTTATCAAACAGTTCCTCTGCAAACCGCCCTGGAACACCACACGTGTGGAACACCAGGTGTGCAATGTGCCCTGGAACAGTCCAGGTGTGCACAGGGCCCCGGAACAGCCCAGGTGTGCAATGTGCCCCAGAACAGCCCAGGTGTGCAGAGCCCTGGAACAGCCCAGGTGTGCAGGGCCCCGGAACAGCCCAGGTGTGCAGAGCTCTGGAACAGTCCAGGTGTGCAAAGGGCCCTGGAACAGCCCAGGTGTGCAATGTGCCCCAGAACAGCCCAGGTGTGCACAGGCACTCACCGTACTCGCTGCCGCCCGTGGAGGTGCTCAGGATGGTCCCGCTCTCGCCGCTGTTGAAGGTGTAGCAGTTGCCGTGGAGGGGGTGATGGAAACGAGTGAAGTGCCTGGAAGAAATCGAATATCGTGACATTGTGGGAGAAAGGCAGCACATTTGGACTTCGGTTTTGACAGAGACAGACCAGGACTGCATGGGGGGCTTATTAAACTTATTGAAAAGAAGTTTATTTTGCTGAAAGATGTGGGTCTCTTTCTGAGTAACTTGAAACTACGTGGCAGTATGATCTAGTTTAGTATTTCAGAAGATGGAAACTCGAGGAAGTTTTAATGCGGGAACGGGGGCTAATAGCATGGGGGAGGCAGATTCACAGACCTAGCAGTGGCTTCTGCTGGAATTCAGCAAATACCAAATTTTCCATTCCTACATATTATGGACTTGGAAATAAGCTGTTAAGATGGCAGGAATTTTCTGTGCACTGACCTTTTGTCACAAGATAGGCCATCAAAGAAACACGTCAGTATAAGGTCCTCCGCAGAATAACTCAATTTTTCTTTAGTCTCCAGGGGAATTTGTGCCATGATGTTCATGTAGTGCAGCTTGTACCACTCCTGGATAGCGTTAACACCCGAACTGAACGTGTACAGGGCACACTCACTGCTGTTGTTTGCGTCACACTGACAAGCACAGAGGGGAAAAAGCATTTCAGACAGACTGAAATCAGGGATTCTACAAGGCAGGTGTAAATTAAGGATGGCACATCTGACAGTGTTTCTCTTCCACAGAAATAACCATGTATGAAGTTACAGAGGGCATCAAAGACCTTTTATGCAGGGCTAAGTGATATCACCAAATATTTCAGGACCAAAAGAGAGGCCACAGATGACACGGACTATTTGGGAAGACTTCAGGAAGGTACTTCTCTAGAGGGGAATCTGCAGCAGCCATGGAGGCTTAGGCAGAAGAGCAGACAGAGTGCCCTTCACCGCTGTGCACTGCAGAGCCACCTGAGCAGGCAACAAAACCTGCCAGAGGGACACTGACCCCAGCACAGCCCTTTGCTGCCCCACAGGGAACTTGCTGGCCAGGGCACAGTGACACTCACCAGCTGAAAGCCAATGATGTCATTGGAATCACCCGAGTTCACGATGGACGAGTCCTTGTGAAAGACACTTCCCTCTATTTTCCTCTTCTGCCCACTGTGCAGGTCAGTCGCTGTCCTGGAGAAGTCCTCGACCTTCAGCAGAGGGATCTGTTCGAAGAAGTCGCTCCCCGTGCTGTTCCAGTCATCCACCGACCGGCGCACCTTGGACTTGCCCTCAGAAAATCCATAGAAAGTTTCCAAAGCTTTTTTTGTCTCTTTGTCCAATTCAGATAAATATTCTTTCATGGCACTGTACCTGCACGGGAGACAAGGCAACAGTGACATCCCATCCCACCTCTCTGCCGGCTGCACTGTGGATGCCACGGCTTGGGACACAATTCCCTGTGGAAGCCTCCCACCAGGTTGTCACATCAGTGAGGGCAGACACAGCTATGTCCATGGAGAGACCTTGGAGCAAGGACCCCAGGAAGCAGAGCAGACTGAACTGCAGAGAAAGTTCTCCCAAGACCCTCAAGCTCCTTATGTTATGTCCATGGAGAGACCTTGGAGCAAGGACCCCAGGAAGCAGAGCAGACTGAACTACAGAGGAAGTTCTCCCAAGACCCTCAAGCTGCTTATGTTAGGAAGTCTGAGGAGGCAGAGTATGTGAAATAAGACTTCATCTGTGAAGCGTCATCAAAGAGCTGGATTCCCAAGGGGACTGGGGTGGGAATCTGGCAGCAGAACAGAGAGCCATGTAAAGCATGATTTGACAGGAGAAAAAGTATTGTTGATGAATCATGTCAGAACCTCCCACAGGGAAAGAAAGAAGCAAGAGAGGAGTGAGAGATGTGCCCTTTCCATTTTTTAGGAGATGATGCTGTTTGTAATCCTGGAACTTCGGTCCTGGGAGGAAGGGGATTTGAAGAGAGCCAAAGAGGTGGCAGGGACTGTCTGGAGCAGAAAGCAGCACGAACGGAGCCGAGGTCAGCAGGCAGCAGTGAGGGGAGAGAGTGTAAGCCACGCAGCGCAGAGGGGGATGTGGCACACCAGGTGCCCTACAGGGAAAACCCTCGGTGGGGAACGTGCTGACACGGAGCACCGGGACGAGCTCGGGAAGGAAGCTGGCGCTGTGCGGAGCCCCCATCCTCCCAGCAGCTCCCCAAGCCTTACTTGTACGGGTTGATGTTGCAGATGGTGACGGCGGGGAACGGCAGCTTCTGGAACTGGACGGTGACGGAGACCGAGGCGCTGTAGTAGTTCATGAGGAGCTCGGCGCACTGCCAGAGGATGAGCCCCACGGCGCTGAGGGTCAGCACGATCCAGAGCAGGCGGCGCAGGCGGCCGCGGGACACCACGATGCGGCGGCAGCCGTGCGTGTTGGTGTTGAGGCAGTACCAGCGCATCAGCTCGCTCAGCGTGGGCGCCTGCGGGCCGCGCACCGGCAGCGTCCGCTTCAGCCGCGCCGTGATCTTCTTACCGGGGGCCGTGGCGGCCGCTGCGGGGCAACCGGGCACTGAGGGGGCGGCTGGGGGACCGGCGCCCGCCCGCCGCCCGGTGCCCCGCCACAGCGCGGCCGCAGGGTCCGGTCCCGTCCCGTCCCGTCCCGTCCCGTCCCGTCCCGTCCCGTCCCGTCCCGACCCGTCCAGTCCCCCCGGAGCCGTCACCCGCCATCCCACCCCCGTGGCGGTGTGTGATCCCCGGAACGGCCGTCCCGGGGGGATCGCGCTCGCCGCGCCTCACCTCGGCCGCCCTCCGGCGCCATGCTCCTCTCGCAGTGCCGGCGCCGCTGCCGATGGGCCGGCGGGCGGCCGTCCCGGTACCTACCCCCGCCACCGCCCCGCCCGGAGCGGGCCGAGCGCCGGGCGGGGATGCGCGCTGCGCCGCGCCGCCATGTCGCGGGTGAGCGGCCCCGGGCCGGCCGGCAGCGCCAAGGAGAAGCGCTCCTTCAGCAAGCGGCTTTTCCGCGGGAGGGCGGCGGGCGGCGGCGCGGGCTCGGCCCCGACCGCCACCCCGGCCCCAGCGCCGTCCGGGCGGTCGCTCGGCGGGTTCATGAGCCGCGTGCTGAAGACCCTCTCCACGCTCTCGCACTACAGCAGCGAGCCCGAGCCCCGCGGCGCGCTCGCCCCGCGCCTGCCCCCGCCGCAGGCGACGGGCGGCCTGGGCAGCTGCTTCCCGCCGGGCCCGCCGCGCAGCCCCGAGCCCCCGCCGCGCCCCGCCGGCACCTCCGAGGCCGTGCCCGGCGTGGCGGGGCTGCGCAACCACGGCAACACCTGCTTCATGAACGCCATCCTGCAGTGCCTCAGCAACACCGAGCTCTTCGCCGAGTTCCTGGCGCTGGAGCAGTTCCGCGGCGGGCCGCCCCCCGCCGACGGGCCGCCGCCCGCGCCCGGCGAGGTCACGGAGCAGCTGGCGCAGCTGGTGCGGGCGCTCTGGACGCTCGAGTACACCCCGCAGCACAGCCGCGACTTCAAGGTGAGCCGGGGCCCGTCCCGTCCGGGCGGGAGCAGCGAGCGCAGGGCCGCCGGCAGCGGCCCCGGAGGGCCGGTGCCCGCCGTGCGGAGGTGGCGGGGCTCGGGGCTCAGCCGGTGGTGCCGTGGCTCACAACAGGTCCAGACGCGGCACGACGCCTCACCATCACACCGGCAGCGCCGGCTGCCCCGGTCACCGGCTGTGGTGGGTATCTCGCCGCCGGTCCGAGCACGCAAGCGGTGGGAAAAGCCTCTGGCCTTGCCGGTGCGTGCCAGCCGCTCCGGAGCGCCGTCCCTGCTCGCGGCATCCTCCCGGAGCAGCAGGGGACAGCGCCGGGCACCACGGCAGCGCCCTGCGGGTGGCACAGCTGCTGCCACTGTGCTCCTGGCTCATGGTGTTTGATGCTGGCTGATGGCTCTGGGTGGTTTTTATCGGTGGAAATACCCATTTTACTGTTTCGTTCCTCTACTGTGCTACCATTAGGGAAGTTGCAACTAACCGTTGTTTGGGAGTTGTGAGCGTGCAGGCAAGGAGGCTGTTGAGAGCTGTGCCTCGCAGTCTGCTGACCAAGAACCTGTGGGTCTGGGCTGATTTGGGGAGTGTGTTTCAGGAGTACCTGCGTGTACTCTCTTGCTGGGACTCGCTGGTGTTTGGCCCCGCGGTGTTCTCCTGCTGCAGCCCCTGTGCTGCGGTTCTGACAGCCCCTGCCCTGCCTGGCCTCGTGCCTGCCCAGGAGCTGTTGGAGCAGAGGGCTTGCTCCTTGCACTGTGGTGTAAAAACACCCTGCCGTGGCTTTGGATGAAATCAGGCACAACTGTTTTAAAAGTGCCCTAGGCCTGCTTTGCCTCCTGGAATAGGGAGAAGTATTACTCCTGGCACAGGAGACTCTCTGGCTGTGTGAGAGAATCAGAGGGTGGGTGGTAGCCTCCACACCATCAACTTAGAGACACTTAGGGGAGTGTCTCTACCACTTCTAGGGGTACTTTTCTTGCAGAGGAGATGTTCAAATGCATGAAAACAGTGAGAACATTGACAGGGTCTTGGGCCCTCTGTGTGCAGTTCAGCTGGGGTGCACAGCAGGTACAGTGGTCCCAAAGTCAGCTCTCCCTTGGTGCCTGCTGGATGGTGGGATGTCCTAGAGGGTCCTCTGAGGTGGCAGTGGCCTTTGGCACCCCCACTCATTTGCATGGCCAGCACCTCTTCCCTCTCTTCTCCTGTGTCTTTTGAGCAGCTGCACCCACCTGTCCTGCAGGGGGTATTCCCTGGACACCCTGGCTGTTTGCCTTCTCTCCGGATGCCTGCCACAAGGACCACGTGTGGCTCTGGTCTTTTCGGGACAGGTTTTTGTGGGGGAGCTCTTGGAAAGCTGATCACTCGCCGAGTCCAGTCTTGGCAGCACCACGGGGCACTCACCTTGACCTGTCACTGCTCCTGAGGTGGTGTGGCAGGAGAAGAAATTGTGGATTTCTCCTGAGTAATAGCAGGAAAAAGGGTTGTGAAAGCAGGATTGTCTTCTGACAGTGGAGCTGATAGAAGGGGCAGCAGCTCTCTTTCTAGGCCAGGCTCTGCTGTTCACGCAGGCTGTGGGAGCAGGGCTGGGTACGAGTGACAGCAGGAGGAAGAGCATCAGGGCCAGGGATTAAATTAAGGCCGTGTTCCGCGGGTGTTGAGAGCAGAACTTTGCTGTTTGCAAGCACTGCTGACAGGAAGGAGTGCAGTTCTGCTTGTGGATGGAGCTGTGCCCGTCCATCTCCGACCTGCCAGGTCCCTGGAGGTTTTGAGAAGCCTCTTGCTGGAGGGAATCTGGTTCCAGTCGATCCAGTTCAGCGCTGCACGGTGCCAGCAGCCTGGGTCCTGCTGCAGGACTGTGTTGTGTCGGTGCTGTTCCCTTATAGAGGAACTTCAGTTACTTCTAATATGAAATTAATGTTTCTAAAGGCAGTTAAGTTGCCTGAACCTGCTATTAAATTCAGTTTTAAATTAAACTTTTTCTCAGCAGCAGATTTGCACACATCATTTACAAATGTAAACAATGGGCTTAGATTGGAGAAAGGCAAATATCAGTATTTTCATTCTGGAAACTGCTGCTTCTCCCCAAAACAAGGAAAACATCCCCCCAGCTTGTTCTGCTTAGAGGGTGGAACATTCCTGATCTGCCTTGATGTAATTGTTTTTAAGGGTGTAAATGTTTTCACAGAGTAATTTTGGGCTTTCCCTCCAACAGTAATAGCCACTGACAGTAATATTTATTTGATAGGCAAGAGGCTCTTTATTCGGCATGCTTTCAAATCCACGTGTTGTTTTGTTTGCTATTTTCCCTCTTTTGGCACCAAATGTAACTGGGAAAAGGCACTTGCTAATTCCTAAATACATCTCTGCAGGTACTAAATGTATTTTAGGACAAAGGATAATACTTCTTTTTTTGCTCATTCTTTTATGTGTAGGCTTCTCTCTTGGAAGAGAGGGAATTATTTTCAAGGAAGCATGTCTTAAAGTCCTTGTGGACAGGGGCCTTTGAAGGAATTATTTTTGGAATGCTTTTTACCCTCAGCTGGTTTTCCTTGGTAGTGTCTTCTCTCTTTTTAAAGGAAAACACTCTTTTTAACCCATGTCATGGGTCTCTGAATGATGTAGCTGCTGAAACTAAGGAAAATGCAGTTTGAACTTGGTTTGTGATAAATGGTTCATCTTGTAGTCGCAGGTTGAGGGGGAGCCTGGCAGAGAGCTTGTGCTCAGAGAGGGGAGGTCGGGAGTGCTGACAGAGCAGGGGAAGGCAGGGGTGGGGGAGGCTGAGGTAGCAGGGAAAGGTCCCTGAGGACTGGACTGAGAGGTGGAAGCAGAAGGGTTGGGTTCCTGGGCTGGGAGCAGAGCGGGAGCACCATGGCAGGGCTGGTAGTTCCTGGGTGTCTCTGCTGAGGATGACTTTATGACTTTCCCGTTGGTCCTGTGCTCCTCTGCTGTTTGCTTGAACAATCCTTCTCTTCCGATTGCTCAGTGGGTTTTGTTTTCCTGCCCAAACAAAGCTGCTGCTTTCATAACAGGGGCTGATATTGCAGCTTGTGCTTCCTCTTTCCCCTTTGTGATGGTGTGACAATGGTGACAAACATCTATTGTATAGGCAGGGCTTTGGGGTTGTTTTTTTGCAGGGAGCTGTCCCGTCCTGCCTGCAAAGTTCCTGGGAGTGTCAGACAGGGGACAGAGTGCCCTTTGTATTGCAGCCCTCGGAGGTGATGGTGGGGGTCGTCAGTGGGAAGGATTTTCATTTAAACTAATTGGGCTTGAAAAATTATGTTCTTATGCAAATCCTCTGCCTTCTGTGGAGTGTGGGTCTTGTGTGAATGGTGAGGCTCTTGCTGTTTTGAGGCTTTCTCTGAGGCTCTAAGGCAGTTGACCACTGAAGCATGCCAGTGTTTAACAAGACCCTTTGCACTCCAGAGCTGGCTTTGCATTTCTCCTCCTACGAGAAGATGGCCTTGGCTGTGACCTGCAGCATGTTCAGCAAATACAGCATGGTCACCATAACTCGGTTGGGCTGGATTGTCAGGATTGGATCTGAACCCAGAACGAGTCCCTGCTGGTAGAGCAGGGATTATTGTGCCAGGTTAAAAGTGCTGCTTCCTTTTCTATTTATTTTTAAACTTAGTGTGAGATTTCCAGGTAGCTGTTTGAAACTCATTTCAAGGTGTTTTGGGAATGCATTTGGTGCAAATATCTCACTTTGGGACAAGCAATCTGCCAGCTGTGTTGGGCACTTCTTTGGGAGTTAATCACGAACTCCTGAGTTATGAAGGAGCTCCTGGAAGTGTTGCCATGGTCAGATCTCTGCCTCCTGTCGAAGGTGCAGTGAGAGCAGCTCCCAGCAGGGCTGCTGGGGCAGCGTGGCTGTCAGGAGCTTTGGTCCTGCTCACAGAGCTGTCAGCCCCAGGCCCTTCTGCTCACCAGAGCCCTTGTGCCTTGCTAATGGGGCCAGTGATGTGTCAAATGTGATCTCCTGGATTGTATTTAGTTGTCTTGCTCTCTGCCTAGAATAGGATCAGTTATTTTATTCTGGATAGGGTCAACTGCTTATTCCTAAAGTATTTCCACAGAGAGCAAACTGTTTTCCCCCTGCACAGAGGGATAGAAGGAAGGGACATGAAAGAATGAATGAATGTGAGACTCTTCACCCTTCCCTTCTGGTTGCTTGGCTTTTGGTTCCTGGTGCTTCAGTTTCTGTGTTGCTCTAAAGAGGCTTTGAGTGGGTTAGGTGACATGGGATGTTGACGTGCTTGTTGCAGTTCAGTCCAGGTGCTTCCAGTGGTGGCATCATACTGAGGAGATTTGTCCTAGGGCTGCTCTGAGAGTTGGAGTCGAAACACTTTCCTTGAAACAAAAAGCAAGTTACAAATTTTCTACATCATTTTTCTGATGGTTCTTGACATCAGGGAAATGCAGTTCATTGGGATCACAGAGGTCTGGCAGTCTTGCCACTTAGACCTTTTTTTTTTTTTTTAATGTTCATTATCAATAAGATGCAAGTCCATTGCTGCATGTATGGCTTGTTTTGTTTTGCTTATTTTCTTGCCTATTTTTCCTTACAATTGCTTCACTCTCTTTCTACACACATACTTCCAAACCCCTTGGGAAGGGTTTCCTAGCAGATCTGGTTGCCTTAAGGCAGCTGTCTGACTTACCTGTGAAATCCAAATGCTTTCTGGGGATTTCTGTGTTACGCTTCAAACTTTGATCTGAGTGATGCAGCACAAGGCTGGGGAGCCGGGGCTGAGCAGCAGAGTCCAGGGGTCAGATGTGGTTGCTGAGGGGGTTCTGCTAGAGGGGGCAGCAGAACTGTGGTGTGGGTGCTCCTTTCCAGAGCAGAGGGTTGGGTGGGGCAGGAGAGACCCCAGTGTGGAACAGCTCTGCTCCTCCACTGCCAGGTGCCCGTGGGGTTGGCAGGACCCTCTGTGAGGCTGGAGGGGCAAATGTACATCATTGCCAAAATGTGTTTTCTGTCTTCTGAGCTT